AGACGTTAGGTGGCATGACTGATGAGCACCGAAAAGTGCGCATTTAAACCCGTTAAGCTTAAGCATTCTAGTACCTTTATCTATCTTACTTTGCCGTTTTAGATTTATTACGTGTTATTTATATTTTCAGGCACTAATCCCAAAATTGAGCTAACTCAGCCAAATAAGAGCTTAATTGAAGCAATCCTGAGATAAACCAAAGGAGGGAGTAAAGTGGAGAAAGAAAGGAGCAAAAAGGAATCAAAGTTGTGCAGCTGAAAAGTTCGATCGATCCAACTTAGAGTTCGATCGATCGAACATCTATGATCGATCACATTACTTCTCGATAGATCCAACCTTGGCCTTTGCTGAAATTCCAAATTCGATCGATCCAACATCACCTTCGATCGATCGAACCCTATTTTGTCCTATTCAAATGATTGATCTTATCCATAGTTGTACGCCTACCAACCACTTTTGTCCTTTTCCCCATAAATATCTTCGAAATATCTCAACCTTGTCCTTATCCGGAGGAGTCAGACCACTTCGATCGATCCAAGATGCAGTTCGATCGATCAAACCCATCTTCGATCGATCCAAGTTAAGGTTCGATCGATCGAACTTCCTCCAGCGAGAAAAAGTTAAAGTCCAGCTCATTTATTCCGTCCTTTATCCAATCATTGGAGAATATGCCTTGCACAACCACAGCTCATCATAGGGTGTATTTGACCTACCTATATAAGGAATATGATACACTTTTTGGAAAGGGAGTCTAGAGTCTCTTGTCACACATTGAAAATCATCTTGGAGGCTCTTCTTGGAAAGGAGGAAGGAGGGAAGCTAAAGCACCATTGGAGGAGATCTTCACCAACAAGGAGCAGCCATGGAGTTAGCCCTTGAGGGTTGGATCATCACTACCATGAGTGGCTAGACATCTTCTTGGGGCTAGAGTTAGCCCCAAGCATGCTTTCTATACTCTAATCTTGTGTATTATTGAGGGATTAGTGTTGTATGATACATCTTGATATTCATGTATATATAAATCTTGATTATTTCATGGTTTGTATGGTTTAATGCTTCCAATTGACTATTATATTCTACCCATATGTCTATGTATGCTAGAGTAGGATATTCATGTGCTTATCTCTAGATTTAGTGTTTTTGATGCATGTCTATGTGTATTGATGCTATAGATTTAGAGATTATCAAAATGATATGCTTAATGAATGATATTTTGGTTCATTTGATGGTTTATGCCTATTCTTGATGGTTTGTGCCTCTCCCCTAGTCTAGATAGCTTTATTTTCATGCTAGTAGTGTAGATTTAGTGTAGTGGTAGTGTAATGTTAGATGGGAGGACAATCTACTCTTGATGTTTGATGTTCCATGCTTGTGAGTCCAAATGGCATATTCCTCTAATATTGTGTTGCATGTGGATTGTGAGCTTAATGAAGGATTAATGACTAGTTATGATATGTTGTATCTTTCACATGTGTTTAGACAATTTATTCCTCTCCCAATAGATATTTTGTACCTCTCACATGATGTTTAGATAATGCATGTTTAATTAAGTCATCCTTATGGATTGCTTAGACTATGAGCTTAATGAAAGGTTCAATGACTTGATTTGATATTTTGTTCTCTTCACATGATGTCTAGACAATATATTCCTCTACTAATAGATGTATTGTGGCCTCACACATGTTGATTGAGACAATTTGCACTTGTTGAGTCACCCTTACCAATTGAATGTCTTTTACACACACAATATTATTGCAACACATTCATTTCCCTCATTAGTCACTTGATTATGGTTTGGAATAGTATTGTTTGGTGGTGATCTCTACACCCCAAGACCTTTCCTTCTTACTTACTCTTTATCTTATTGCATTTTAATTAATTCTTTTCTAGAAGTAATCAACCAACCCAATTCTCTTTTGCAATCATTTGGTACGCTAGAGTCGAAGTTGAAATTCCAACACGTATAATCCCTTGGGACGATCCCTACTCACTCTTGCTACGTTAGTAGTAGTGTTGGTAGTGGTTTTTATAAATTTAAATTTGACATAAAAGGCTTTTCTTGAACCACACATTCACTACATTCAGTTTGGCGTATTGGAACGGCCGTCGTCAGATTTTGGCGCCGTTGCCGGGGATCGAACCCGGGTCATCCGCGTGACAGGCGAATTTAACTATTTATATTTAATTAAATTCTACTTTGTTACTCCATGGATTTAATTGCATTTTGGAAGTTATTTTTATATTTAAATTATTGATTTGGATTTGGTGTATGTTCACTTGATTACTATTGAGCATTGGATAACATAGTTGTTACTTTTATATTCATGAGAATATGTTTTTCCTTATTGAATATATTGTTGCTATGTGTAAGGAATTGCACACTTTGTATTTAACATCTTTCATGCCATAGTAGTTGTAGACTTTGAGCATGTATTGTATATGTTTCCAAAATTTGGGTTGTGTATAGTAAATGGTTGATATCTTGTATATACATGTTGATATATATACGTTGTTACACAATTTGTTGATTTTGGAAACTTGGGGATGTCGTTGTTGGCTACGGCTATGACTTGATTCTAGTACGGGGGATTGTCTCTCTATATAGTCTAGTGCGCACATAGGGAGGTTACCCATGGGCTAGTAACCCTAAAGTAACTATGTTGTCGGTCTGATCCGACGTGACGTCTGAGTATCCACTTTGTTTGATTTCGTATTTCATTTCAAGTTGATAACTAGATGATATCGTAACTTGTTGTTCTTTGTTTGTTTTCCCATTTTCAGTTGCAAGATGTTAACTTTGAGAAATCATGTTTTAAGCGTTGTATTGGAAGTTCCAATGTTGGTTAAATTGCATCGATATCATAATTTGTGTTTTGATGTTCAAATGTAGTTTAGGAATGATCCTATAGATTCACTTTGAACATAGACGTTAGGTGGCTTGACCCACTCTTGTTGTTTTCGTATCTTGGATTTCAAGTTGAAGATTTTGAGAATCTATATCTTGTTGCTTTGTATAACATGTTTCCATGTTGTTTGAATTGCATGAACAATGTGATTATGCTAGAAATGTTTTAGGGTAACTTAGGATGCTTCTTGAGTCTCATTTTGACATAGACATTAGGTGGCATGAACCCCTTTGATATTTTTCACCTTAAGGTGATAAAATTGTAAAATGCTAGGTCGACGCATGCTCGTCTCCTACGAATAGCTTTATGTTACTCACCCCTACGATACTGGGGCATATTTCAGGTACAAGCCTCAAGACTTGAAGATTTCATTGCCTTGGATCGTTTGGTAGCTTTATGTATCAAACTTATATTCTTTGATTCTACGTATGTAAAGTGTACATAAGTACACTTCTTTTAATGCATTTGACATGTAGGACATGAGGCCAAGGGCCAAGCAAGTTTATATTTGCACTTGTATTCAATTGGTGCCATATTTTGCTTGAAAATGTATTTTTATCAACTATGGAGGCTTTGTATACTAAAACTTGTTAATGGAATGTAAAGAGACTTTAGGCCATATTGGTACATCTATTTTATCATATTGCATGCACTTGCATACTCACTTTGGCAAACAACACCATCCTTGATGAAACAAAAACTCTAAGTAGCATTTTTAGGGAGTTTTACCCTATTATGTTCTAGGGGCATTTTGGGTATTTCACAATGTGGTTTTTTCATTTTTCCTTAAGAGTCACATAGAAAACTCAATTTTGAGGAGGGTTTCTTCTTTGTGTTTTTCCAGAAAATGTCATTTTGGCCTTTAAAAATCCATATTTGTCCAAAAAATCCTTGCTGCCAGGTTTTGCAGATTTTTAGTGCAAATGTACTTGGTACTATTCATCGACTTTTTTTTTAAAAGTGTGACGACCGATCCAAAACTTCCGGGGGTCTTGTGGATGTATTTTAAGATTGCATTTTCAATTTAGGCAATTTAAAAACCTCCCAAAGCCCTATTTCCTTTCTTTGGGCAGCAGCTCGGAGAAATTTTTAACCCCTTGACCAGATTTGCTTGGGGGCATTTTGGGCATTTTACAATACATTTTTTTTGTTTCGGTTCGCGTACGGGGTAGGAAACTTGATTTTAGGGCGGGTTTCTTCTTTGAGTTTTTCCAAAAAAATCCGTTTAGATGCCCGTTTTTACTCTCAGTTGCAGCAGTAGTGGGTTAACGGCACTGTAGCTGTTACGGCCTTCGTTGGGCCGCCGCGACGTCAGTTTTGTTTTTGACCTTTCTCTCTCATCCGGACTCCAAATCAAGTGAATTTTTTTTTTGAAATTGATTAATTTTTCATTGTCTATCCAACGGTGTGCTCGGTTGCATCCAGATATTTCTGGATAATTACCAGTTTACCCCTTTTAGCTTTATTGCTCCTTTTTCTTTGTTTTGTCGTTTCTCCTTCGTCCGGAATCCGAACAATAAAATTCTTGAGTCTATCATGATTAGTTTTTCATTGTCTTCCTAGTGGTGTACTCAATAGCACTTGAATCCACTTTTTTACAAAATGACCATTTTGCCCCTATGTTCTTTTTTGTCCGTTTTTGAAACGACACTTCCGTATTTGTTTTCCTTTGGGTTCCATGACCTCATTGAGGGTCACATTGGTGTCTTAGAGACGTATTGTATTTCTAGAAACAGTTGTTTCACTTTCGCTTTCGCATTTCGGATCCGTTATCGGGTCATCTTTTGGTCATCACTGACGCACCGGGTTTACAAAACTTGGGCCATCACAATTTTCCATCATGATAACATTCGGCACCCTAAATCGGCAGATTATATTGTTTCATAGAAAACTCTTCACTTGTTCATGGGTCACGCTTGAATAAGCTTCGGCTTTAACCCATTTAGTGAAGTAATCTTTGGCTAGCAACACGTATTCATTTTTCTCCACAGTTTTGGGCAAATAACCGACCATATCAATCCCCCATTGAGTGAATGGCTATGGATTCGCCATCGCGTGTAAATCTTAGGCGGGTTGATGTTTCATTGGACCATGTCACTGGCACTTATCACATCTTCTGGCATACTCTTGAGCATTTCGGGCCAAGTAAGGCCAGAAATAACCTTGAGTCAGAACTTTATGTGCCAAGGATCTACTTCCAGAGTGATTGCCACAATCCCCGTCATGAATCTGCTTCAGAATCGTGAGAGCCTCAGTAGGACTTAAACATTTCAAGTAAGGACCTGAGAATGACTTTCGGTATAATTGATTATTGATGATAGCATATTTAGCTGCGGTGAGCCTGAGTTTCCATGCCTCGGCCTTCTGGTTCGGAAGGGTTCCCTCTTTAAGGTAAGCTTCTAATAGATCCATCCAGCATAGTTCACGTGGGACATCTGGGATCACTATTATTTCTTGCCGAGGGCTTATACTTGGTTCATCTAGGATGTCAATTAGTATGATTCGGACCAGATCTTCATCCGAAGAAGATGCTGCTGCAGCCAACTGATCTGCTTCAGAATTCTCCTCGCGAGGTATCTGATGGAATTTGATCTGATCGGAGGCACTCTCCATAGCCTCTCTGTAGGCCTTCATTCTATCCTCTTTGGGCTGATACTGGCCTGTTACTTGATTCACAATAAGTTAAAAATCACTAAAAACTTTTAGACACCTTACCTGAAGCTGGTTTACTAACCGGAGTCCTGCGAGTAGGGCCTCATATTCTGCCTCATTGTCAGTGGCAGGAAAAGTCAGCCGAATTGATTGCTGCAGCTTGGTGCCTTCAGGAGTTGTGATAACAACTCCTGCCCCGGCACTAATTAAGTTCGAGGAACTATCCACCCGAAGCTCCCATTGTGGCTCAGAAGGGCCTTGCTCCTCGAGCTTATCTTCATACTCTAAGAGGAAATCAGCTAGTGCTTGCCTTTTGTGCGACACCTTCAGTTCGTAGGATATATCGAATGAACTAAGCTCGATTGCCCATTTAGTTATTCTCCCGAATAAATTCGATTTAGAAATAATGACTCGCATGGGGTAGTTGGTAAAAACTTTGATGCTGTGCGACTCAAAGTAGGGTCGAGGTTTCCTTTTAGCATATACCAATGCGAGTATGATCTTCTCTGCTTTGTTGTACCGTGTTTCTGCATCTATCATTGTCTTGCTGGTGTAGAAGATTGGATACTGATTCTTACCTTCTTCTCTAATCAATACTGCACTCGTGGCTATGCTGGAGATGGCATGATAAGAGTCTTACCAGGCTTCGGAGCTGACAGAATTGGGGGTTTCGCCATGTAGCATTTTAGTTGATTGAGAGCAGCTTGCTATTAAGGTCCCCATATGTCTTTGTTTTTGGACTTTATTGCATCAAAGAATGGTTTGCACTTATCAAACAATCGAGAGATAAATCGACTAAGAGATGTGATTCGACTAGTCAAAACTTGTACTTCCCTGCAGGTTTTTGGTTCATGATTTTGTATAAGGGCTTGAGCCTGAGTCGGGCTCACCTCAATTCCCCTTTTGTTTATAATATGGGCGAGGAACTGTCCTGAAGAAACCGCGAAGGAGTACTTCGAAGGATTTAGCTTCATGCCATATTTTCTTAAAGTGTCAAAGACCTCTTGGAGGTACCTTGGGTGCTCTTCCTTCTTCACACTTTTGACCACTATATCGTCGATATAGGCCTCGACCTTCTTTCCCAACATCTCATCGCAGATCTTGTTAACAAGGCGCTGGTAAGTTGCTCCAGCATTCTTAAGCCTGAAGGGCATAACTCTGTAACAGTAGGTGTCCTTCTCCGTTATGAAAGCAGTCTTCTCTTCATCCTCTGGATTCATAAGGATTTGGTTGTAGCCGGAGTACGCATCAAGAAATATGGGCCTCTCAAAACCAGTAGTGGCATCAACCATTTGATTAATCTTGGGTAATGGAAAGTTGTCTTTAGGGTAGGCTTTGTTGATATTGGTAAAATCTATGCACACCCTCCATTTTTCGTTCTTCTTCTGAACTACCACCACGTTGGAGAGCCATTGTAGGTAGTACACCTCTCGGATGAAGCCTGCCTGAAGCAACTTGCTTACCTCTTCAGCTATAATTTGGTTGCGCTCTGGAGCGAACCTTTTGTGCTTCTGCTTGACTGGTTTGTATGCCGGATCCACCTTCAGGCTATGGCATGAGACCGAGGGATTGATTCCCACCATGTCTGAATACTCCCAAACAAATGCATCTGCGTTTCGTCGAATGACATCAATTAATGCTTTCTTTTCTTCGGCTGTGGGGAAAGAACCTATATAGGTGATTTTCTGAGGATCGCCAAGGATTACTTCGACAGCCTCCAGAGACTCCTCAGTAGGCTTTTCAGTTTTGACCTCATCATTTGCTCTCAAATACCTGGGCAGAGGATTTTGTAATTGTTATTTGGACATGCTCCCAGGAGGTGTGATCGGTTGGGACTGTTTTGTTACCTTCTTTACCTCATTTTGTGTCAACATGTAGCACTCTTTGGCAACTATTTGATCTCCCGTGAGGTCAATAACCTTTCTACCGTCCGTAGACAAGCATCGCATCACTTGATGAAGGGTAGATGGAACCCCGTTCATTCGGTGGATCCAACCTCTTCCCATAATGAGATTGTAGGAAGGGTGGATCTCCGTTAAGACAAAGTTCTCCTTCAGTGTCCTCTTTGCTGCGATTACGGATAGGTCAATTACCCCAAGGGGGTCCACCTTTGTACCATCGATCCCCATCAATGGGCTAGAGGTGGGCCGAATTGACGATGACAGAATCTCTAGCTGCTTAAAGATCGCCTTTGTGATGATGTTGGCACTGCTCCCCGGGTCTATTAAAACCCTCTTAATTATACAATTCGCCACCAAGAGACTGATGACCAACGAATCCTCGTGGGGGAGTTGAACTCTAGATAGATCTCCATCGCCGAACCCAATGTTGACACTTCCTGAAGCAATAGCGTTTACCGAGGATAGCCTCTTTAACTTATGGGCTGTTCTCAGTCGGGACCTATAAACCTCCTCTGACTCTTGATCATCTTCCGATCTTCCATGTATTACATAAATGACCTTCACTTGATTACCTTCGACTTTCCAAGAGTTGACCTCCCGAGGCTTCACGTACTCCTTTGTTGTGAGGTAGTCTGTCAATTCACCTCTTAGTATCATGTTTTTCACCTGCCGCCTAAGGGATCTGCAATCATTAGTCGTATGCCTATAATCTCTGTAGTAGGCGCAGTGCTTGGTCTTATCTCTCTGTTCCAATGGTTGCCTTATTAGCTGAGGGGCTGTAAACTTCATTTTATTCTCCTGGAATAACCAAACCAAGGTTGTGCAAAGAGGTGTGAACTTTTCCTCTGTCTTTTGCCTTTTTTAGAGTATTTGAATGGCTGGTGCCAAAGCGTGCTGGTTTTTTCGGCTTTTTGAGTTTAAAGCCCTTTCCTGAGGCTTGTTCTCCACCGTAATAAGGGTGGCATGTTAAGCTGGGTGGGCCACATTCTCCTCAAGTCGGATGTAGATCTGTGCTCTAGCATTGAGAGTCTGCATATCCGGAGGGGAATACTTAACTAAAGATGTCTGGAACTTGGTTCCCTAAATCATTGCAAGTTTGAAAGTTTCTATTGCGGTAACAGGATGGCAATCTGCTATTTCCGAAGCCTCCATATTAAATCTGGATAAGAAATCTTGTAATATTTCGCCCTTCTTTTGCTTTATAGTGAAAAAGCTAGCAATACTCTTCTTTTGCTTCTTATTACCGTAATACTACGCTAGGAACATAGCGCATAGAGTTTTGTAGTCTGGAATAGATTTATGTGGCCTATTCCTGAACCACTTCAGCGCAGCCCCCGTTAAACTGGTAGGGAAAACTTTATACATCCATGGGTCATTGTGATCGTCCAGAGCCATCTTTTGCGCGTAGTGATCTAAGTGCCGAGAAGGATCTCCCGTACCATCAAACTGGGTAAAAGAAGGCATAGTGAATTTCTTAACAAGGTACACATCGTCAGTGAATGGAGTCTTCACGAGAGAGTTCTTATATTCCCCGGCCATCTTTGCAGGCGTTTGAACTCTCATGAGTCTCTTCTCGTCAAAGGCCTTATTTACTCCTGTACCATCTAGAACACCATTAGACCATACCGTAAGTTTACGGCTGGATTCGGCCTTTTCGTCCTGTGTGCGACGAGGAAGATTGTCCGAAGCTACCGCCTCAGACCTTACGCTCTGGTCTTGCTGAACTTCGGTGGGCCGAACTTCACTAAGCCGAACCCCATTGACTTGAGGCTCGTTTCGGTTGGTAGGAGGCACAACCCCGTCAACTGGTGGTGGCCGAACTTCATTAAGCCGAACCCCATTGATCTGAGGCTCATTTTGGTTGGGAGGAGGCGCAGCCCTGTCAACTGGTGGTGGCTGAGGTGTTAACTGAGCTATGGTCGTTTGAAGGGTATCGTTTTGCTATTGAAGTAATGCAATCTGGGCTACGCTGGCTTCATTCGCCTGACGAAGTGCTTCGAATTGGTGCGAGAACTCTTCTTGCATCTTTTGCATCAACTCCATCTGTTGATCTGCCGCCATCGATTCTCCGTTCGACATTCCAGATTGTGGAAACAAAAACAATTTGAAACAAAAAGGTGGGAGTATCTTTCTATACGATTCCTACAGACAGCGCCAAAGTGTAGGTGCAAAATTTCTCTCTATTAAAACAAATAAAAAGAAAAATACAGCTCACTTAGAATAAGCAAAAATAAAACTCAGAATAAGTGTATAATGCTCGATCATTTTATTGGAGGTCAAGCCTCTATTTATAAGAAATAAGGTGGTGGAATTATGGTATGATTTGTATGGCTTGTCCTCCAATCCATTCCATATATGACTTTCTTTACAATTACAATCCTTTCCTTTTTACAATTCTTTCCATGCAGAATTTTCCTTGCACAAAACTTGCTCTCTTTGTGATTCCTTGGCATTGTATGACTGATCTTCCCTTAACCAAGGTTAGGCTGAATGCGGGCTAATCCAGACGAATCAGCTAATGGGCTTGGAGTTCACCCTTTGTGTTTTGGGCTGTTGATGTTTGGGCTTGGAAGGTGGGCCGGATGGCCTGGGTTTGTGATCTATATGGAAACCAAGACTTTGTATAGGCTTGTTCTGGACTAGGTTCTCCCAATTTGGACTCAACACCGATTGGGCCCTTGCTGTACCTAGAATAATTTTGTGGTTTGATGACGTAGACAATTCTTACTGGAGGGGGAATTTTTTCCCTCCACATATTAGGTTCCCAAAGGCGTAGGAAATGCCTTCTACCTAATATTATTATAGATATTTTCTTGGTAATTGGATTACCAAATTTATCAACTGTTACAATGGGTGCAATTCTAACTCTATAAAATTATATGTCAAATACTTTCAGAACTTTATCTAAATAGGTTTTTTGTGACAATACAAGAATTTCATAAGATTGATTTAGGTGAAACTCAATGCCAATAAAAAATGCGACACTAACACCTTCATCTCAAATGTTTGAGAAGATAAATTGTTTAATCTCATGTATAATAATGTCACTGTCATCCACATTTAACGCTAAAGATGAATTTTACTCCCACTGACATTGAGAATAATTACAGCCACACATTTACAGTTTAATTGATGGGAATGTCAACTAAACTTTCCAGAGTTAATTAAATAATGCCTCAAAATAATTAATTCTAAATGGGATCAATATAACATATAATAATCTTTCCTTTGGGCCAAAATTATCATGTGTTAGTTTCCTGGATCAATATAACATATAATAATCTTTCCTTTGGGCCAAACTTATCATATGTTAGTTTCCCACTGGTGAAATAATTTTCACCTTTTGAAGCTAATTAATCATAGAAAACACAATAACAACTTATACTCCTTTAGGCATAGTGAGTCATCAATTGTATCTTCTATACTAATTACCTCAATCCGCTTAGTTGGACAAACTCAATGACCCACCTTTGGGCTTGATCATTGCTCGTCTTTAATAAACGTCAACACAATCATTTAACTTTAACAAAATAATAATTTTGCCACTAATTACAAATATCATTAAACATTTTCACGAGTGTGCCACTTTAGTGATTAAACACTCGATCAAACTTAATGACACTTGTGCTTAAATTTGCAAAATATGATTCAATTTTCCCGAATGAATCAAACATATACATATACATATTATGCAACAATTTATAACATAAGACACATGCATAATTATGTATATAATTTCAATAACATGTATAATTTCATAAACTTATATGCTATGAAACTTTAAATTAATCATTGATTATGCCATGTATATTATCAAAGATTTAAAACATTCAACTAATGATGATAACTTAATAAAAATGACATATTTATGAAAATTATTAAAGCACTAAATCAAATCTCAAGCCTTAAAATTTATACATGCTATAAAATAAAGAATTTCAGGACAAAAATTTGTCATATAATTATTTCTAGTAGAATCGTACACGCTCTAATTGAGTTTGCTATGCCACGTGCATAACTTTTGGTGCATAGACCACAAATACAGGTGTGTGCAACACGTATAATCAGCAGTTGCATATATAATGAATATTTGTGACCCAAACTAAAACATGCCAAGGTACGTTGTTGTATGAGTGGTACTGTTTCACTTACAACTGTCATAAACAGTCGTGACCACTTGATATTATTGACAGTACGTAACACTGGTACATAAATGTCACTGGTACATGAATGCTAGAAATTTATGTTGCTGCCTAACGTGATATGTATGACAGCTAAAGAAGTGATAATTCTTTCAAGAATGTGTTTATGTCTCTATAAGTGTCACAGTTCTTCTCTAACACGTGACACTCTTATAGAGACATGAATACCCAAAATTACATTCACGTTGTTGTCCAACACATCCACATTAAAACAACTATGATAACAATTGTATAAAAACTATTCATGTATTTCATATTCAGTACATGCATATGCATTATCTTATTATAATAATATTTGTCCCAAAATAATAACATACAATATGTGTATATATATATACACATATTCATATATATATATATATATATGAATATCAATATCTTTGCATGCACATAAATTTTGAAGATCTTGGGCAGACATGTTTGTAATACAATATAATTGTACTAAAATATTTGATACTTTCATGCATACGTAGTGTGTATATATGCGTGTACATGAAAAACAGAGTATATATATACATATATATCTGTGTCCTTTTTCATCTCAAACATGTATTGCATATAAATTTCATACTATACGATTAATAATATATTGTTAACAAATAAATCAAATTTATACATCAGAGTCCATGTTGGCTCTGATACCACATATAAGAAAATACAACCCAAATAGGATTCATGACTCCAATACATAAATTTATATAAAGGAAGACATACCTGGTATAGAAACTATGTTTCAATAGAACACTAAAGCGGAAACGCTCTTCAACCCTCTGATCTTCTCTCTGCGTATAGGATGATGGATTCCAGATTTCTACGCATATATATAGATGAAGGTTGGGACCGTTCCAGTAAACGTTAAGAGGTGTGTTGGTTCCATCAACTAACACAACTCTTCATATGTGACTCTTCAACAAAGCATCACAACTCTTAAATATATACATGACTATTCATTCAAATATATGGATAACTAAATATTAATTAATTATTGTTAGATTATTAATATTTTGCTTACAATAAATTCCTAACTACATCAATGTCCATGGATGCATATCATTTACCGGCTCACCTCCGAATTCCTGAAAAATGTTAATAATAATAGGATCATGGCAATCAAAGAAAATGGATCATGGGATTATAAGTCATATCAATCATACATGAATTTCACAAATTCACAAACCATTCCATCACACATGAAATGCAAATGTTCCATTCTTCCTTTCCAACCCAACCTTACTAAAACCTTCATAACCACCACCTTAATTTGCAACACCACCATCATCTCATTTCCTAACCTTCTCTCCCGCATCAAACCTTCATCCTCTCAACTCACCACATACCAAAGATATGCACATTATACTACCATTCATCAATATACAAATCATCATAATAATCATATCAAAACACCCAAACATAAAAATTGATCATATAAATCATATTTTCACATTTTATCATAGAAAAATAGCATGCTTAGTACAAATAAAAGAAACCATCATATTCTCAACTCAAGTAATTAGATCAAAACTATCTCATACTTAGTATCACAATAAAAAATTTACAATTAAGCATGTTTCACAATATCAAGATTTTCATGTAAAAAAAATACATAAAAACTTACTAAAATCATAGGAATTCGTAATTTAGACTTCTCTTACCTTAATGGAGCAAGCCAAACAAGCCCTAAGCTTCCTAAAATTTTGAAATCCTTTTAAACCCTAGCAATATTGACCTCAATTTAAAGCTCATACCAAGCTCTCCAACTTCCCTCCTTCCTCTCCCTCAAAATCTAACTCAAACCTTTCCAAAATAAATATCAAAGGGTGGAAGACATTTAATGAATATAGATAGATGTAGAGAGGAAAGAGAATGGTTAGAGAGAGAGCATTTTTGCCGAAAATGGAGGAGTAGGAAGGTAATGGTATGATAAAAATTTGACCTTGTGGTCATTGGCTTGCCATGTGTCAACTTTTGGTTGATTTCTAATTTTTATGCAAAGTTACAATCTTGTCCTTCTTCAAACCATACATTGTCTCCTTTGCCCCATAAATATATTCCTATATATATATATAGATACACAAATATATATACATATGCATATGAAATGTTTACAATGCCCCTTAGTGGAAATGACCAAATCGGGTAAAATCCCTGAAAATTCTCGACTTTCTGAAAATTCTAAAAATGATACCGTCACTTCTAATTGACTTAAAGTTGATTAAAATAAATTTCCAAAACCCTCGGCTCGATGAATGACCAAAACGCCCCTCCCATGTGGCACGCAAAACAAGGTAATGATTAAAATAATCCAGAAAAATTAAATAAATTTTCAAAAATAGGAAATAGTGAAAATCGGTAATATTACAGTTCTCGTCGCATCCTGAATCGCTTGTGAAAGTACTCCGGTGGATATGTGCAATTCTCGTCGAAGTAGTCTTTCATTAGTTGATAGTGGCTTCCCTCTCGGTCACGATGAATGTACCGCTTCTTATTACGGACTTGAAATACTTGCTCAACTATCTCTGGCCTCACTGAATTCATAATCTCATAGAATTCGGTTTGATCTTGTTAAATCAACGCAGCAATAGAGTCATCTTCCGAAGATGATGACGAGGAAGATGAAGACGAGGAAGATGAAGAATTAGAGTCTGCCAAAGGAAAAGCTTGTGATGACGAAGTCATTGGAATTTTAGAATTGAAAAAGATAGATAATGATATTTTGTTATAAAGGAAAGAAAGCGAAAATTTGGAGGCTTTAATGGAGTGTATATTTTTTGAAAGCAAAAACTATTCACGTGCCATTTAAAAAAACTAAAATGACATATTTAAAGAGTCAAAATTCAAAGATGCGGTGGTGCTGATGACCCTAGAGTCCAGGGCTCCTCCCACTTATGGAGAGGAACCGTTTATTTAACGTATTTTATCTGGGCTACATGACATTTTACTCGTGGGTGGGTGCACGGGCTTAATGATATTTGACGTGTTCACCAAATGGCAAGAAACATTAGCAGCCCAGCTGCCCGTTCACTGTATCCATCTCTCTCTCTCTCTCACACACACACACTAAACACGCATACACAACGTGCTTTCTTTTCCCTCGGCCTCCTTTCGGCGGAAATGTTCTCCATTGGAGCCCACGGAAAAGAATAACCCAATCAGGGATTGGTAAGAATCTTATCATGGGAAGGGTGAGCTAGATAAAGTATTCAGTCACCCACAGAATCACCATTTCCTTCGTCTCCGTCTTTCCTTCTCCTTACTTCCATCAGGAATTTAAAGTCAAAGCCGGGGCGAGGATCTATTCTAGTTCTTCTCAGGTACAATTTTCAATCCATCCAGCTCTCTCTTCCTCTCTATCTCTATATACACAAACACCTGTATCTATACGTATACGTGTTTGTATCTTTGAATCTGTGACCAATTTCTTAGGTTGCTGATCTCGATCTGAGGTGATCTAGCAGTGGGAACAAACGTCTCGCCATGGCTTCAAAACGGATCTTGAAGGAGCTCAAGGATCTCCAGAAGGATCCTCCTACATCTTGCAGCGCCGGTATCAATTTTTTTTTTTTTAAATCTATATATATGTATGTAGGCTATGCGTGTATATACGCATGTAGTTACCTTTATTTGGTTTAATTTCATTAGCGTGTTCCCCTTTTCTGTTTTCAATGAGCCTATTCCGGTTGGATTTTAATTTTCTGTTGCCAGTTCAATGAAGTTATGATTTTTTTTCCGTTTCTCCTCATCTATTGGCAAGTGGTTATTTCCTTTTGGTTTTCATGCATTGTATCAACAGTTGTGTCTTAAAATTTTGTTATCTGAGTTTGAGTTTCTTTTGTGCAATTCGTGTTTCGGTATTAGCTACTACGGTTCCTGTTGTGCTGTTTAGCAGGTTTTGAAAATAAAAATAAAAATCATATCTTGAAATAAGATTTTATAGAATGTTCGTGTATAAAATTATATTTGTATATCCTGATGTCTAGATTGCTATATTCGTCCATTATAGTGGATAACAGCTGTAGCTTCCACCAGGATTTAGCAGATCGATGTTAATTTGGAGGAGTTCATCTCCTCCCAAAACCGATAAGAAGAACCACCGATGTAGGGAGCACGCTGCCACTGGGATCCTTAGGTATATATAGAAGGAAATATGCAGTTCCTCATTCATCATTCTCGGAGAAACAAAGGGTAGAAGAGCGTAGGAAAGGAAAACCAAGGATATGGAATTGTGAAGGAAATGCAAGGAGATCGTCTAAACTTCCTTATAAACACAAAAAGATGGAGAAAAATGAGTAAAGGAAGAATTCAAGAAGATGAGAAGTAGGTGGACTGTATGGAAGAATAGGCATACAGAATGAAAATGTGTAAAGGTTGATTTGGATGGCTAATTACCCTTGGCTAATAATTATCACCCTTTGTTATTCTAACTCTTCAAAATGTGTATAGATTGATTGGGATAACTAACTACCTTAGCCACCCAAATGACTGCACAGGAAATGATGAAGAGTGAGAATAAGAATTGGCATAATTATTACTCTGTCAAAAAGATTTGGGGAGATTTCGTGGTTGCACATTTGCCCAAATAGGCCCTTTTTTTTTTTTTTTTCCCCGAAGGTTGCATTGGGGCAAAAAATGTAGTAAAGAGAAATAAACGGTAACTATTTAATAAATGAAGCATGCAGGATAATTAGAGGAATAATATATGAGAAATAATTTATAATTTAAAAAATATATATTTATGTATACATAAAGATAATGCCCATAATTGTGAGGCAATATCTTGGGCTGACATAATTATAAGGTAAAAAACACAACCTGAGGAATTGTGCAATATTCTAGGACGGAGGTGATGGCTTATTAGGCACAATCCTGATGCAGAAAGGGGCTAAGATTACATGGCAGTATCCCGGGGTGGTTTGTTTTGACATAATCGAGGGGAAGCAACTCATGTTACTGACTGAATCTCATTATCGGTGTGTACCGCAACATATGGTGGAAAGAACTTTGTAGTCACATATGTTGGTTCGTTGAAGGTGGTGCTTGCGCGACTCTAAAGCCGTGATCCACTTTGTACATGAGACATGGCAAGGTGATAGCCACTTTGACACGTGTCCTTGTATAATAAGATGATAGATTGACATAGTGCCAGTGTATGGGAATCAAAGAGAGCACGTGGAGTGCCAGTTTTTGGGAACCGAATCAACACTATACCACCAGTAGGTAAACAATATATATTCCATGTGATATCAATCTGAGTATGCTCATGTACATATTGTTACATTCTAAGCATTCTAATTATATAAAACATAAAGGAGAGAAACATAAGCTAATTTCACCAAAATTATGAAACCGTAGCCGCGTAGATAAAGTTGAGACGAACGATTTTTGTTCTTGGACCCTTAACAAACACCAAGGCCAATATATTGGTTTCCAAAGAGAAATAAATATACGCAAGCCCTTTTTCTATGTGATACGTCATAAACGTAAAATATTATATGGTTCAAATAAATAGGAAAAATATGTTAATGGGGTGGAAAGTATGATAATTAGAAACTAAGGTACTTAAAATGAAGGATTTTTTTAAGGACAAATCAAAGGAATAATAGGTTAAAAAGAAAGACAAAAGAAAAGAAAAAAAAGGCATCGATGTCAGTGCCTCACCAATATAAGACCTGAATATATTAGTTTCCAAAGGAAACCGATATATTGGCATCGACATTAGCGCCAAGGAAAGGAATAAAGAAAGAAAAAAAATTTCTTACCTCGGCGTTTGAGCCAAGGAAAGAAGGAAAAAAAGAAGAAGAAAAGGGGCCCTCGGCGTTTCGTGTCATAGAAAAGACAAGAAAAGAGCATAACAAAAGAAAAGAACGAAATAGAATCCTACCCTTCTTCTCCTTCAATCTTTCTTTCTCAAATCCAAGGCAAGAAAAGAGCATAACAAAAGAAAAGAACAAAATAGAATCCTACCCTTCTTCTCCTTCAATCTTTCTTTCTCAAATCCAAGGCAAAATAGTGAGAATTTGCTAAGGGTCCAAGAAAAAAAATGTTCGTCTCAACTTTCTCTACGCCATAGTTGTTGAAGGCTCAAGGCGCACTAAGACGCCAAGGTCTCTTGGAGCCTGAGGCGCAAGGCGAGGCGAGGGCTTGACTGAAGTGAGGCGCAAGTTGAAAAATATATTGCATTTGTAGCCAACAACGCAAAGCTAGCAGCAATATAAATAGAAACACAATAAGCACCATGGCCAAGCAGCAATACAAAGTCTAAGTTCCTAATAAATATCCAATACAAGCAACCCAACCAAGGCTGCCAAGCAAATCAAGTACAATTAGCAGCCACCATTTTTGGAGAAAATAACAAATCATAAACCAAATACAGTAAGCAAAGTAGCAAACCAAACCCTTAAGTTGAATAGTTAATAATCAGCCACCTTTTTTGGATAAAATTATAAGTCATAACCCAAATATAGTAAGCAGAATTGCAAACCAAATACTTAAGTTCAATAGTTAACATACTAACATAAAATAAATAAAGTTCGAAAATAAAAAAACAAATGACTCTTCAATCAGGCGCGCCTTTGTTGCGCCTTGCGCTTGGGGCGCCTGCTACAAAGGCACGCATCTTCTTATTGATGTCGACTCGCCTGGGCCCATGCGCAAAAGGTGCGCCTTAGGCGCGTCTTTAACAACTATGCTCTACACGGTTACGGTTTCAGAATTTTGGTGAAGTTAGTTTAGCGTTAGAGGCAGGGGTGTACTTACCTTTTTAACCCTTAAATTTGTTATTTGTTCTCCTTTATGGTTTTTATAAATTAGCATGCTTAGAATGTGGTAATTTGTATTATATATATATATATATATATATATATTTGTGTATGTTGTTCACATGTTAGTTGGGGTGAAAATTTTGATTTATGATTTGTCCTTTTTTTGTGTTTTATGTACATAGCATGCTTAGATTAATAGAACATGGGATATATGTGTTGATGAGAGCATGCTTGAAAATGAATATCTATATAATACTTGGCAAAGTACTGAATTGGGAGTTCATGTTTGTATGATTATAGACTGCTGTTCAATATGATGCGATTGGTATATTGGGTTGAGTGTAATTGATTTGTTGACTCTGTCATGACCTGCCCCATCCTTTGTTGGTATTGTTCGATATGCACACTCTCTGTGCTCATGCTACATAGTTAGGAGACGTTCACATATAGAAGTGCGAGCAACTTCTCCCCCTGAGGCGATGTGGGACGATACATAAAATCTCAAATTATCAACAACTACAATCAGTTTCTAGAGTCATGTCCAATCCAATATATATATATATATATATACATACTAGTAAAAGACACGTGCAACTTCTTTGAGTAATTGAAATTTCAAATATTTATGAAGCCAAATGTTTTGTCTTTTGCACATGCATTAGTGACAAAAAGGATTCTAAGAGTAAAGATTAAAGTTTAAGGGGTTACAATTTCTTATTTAAATAATTCTTAACTATGATATAAATAGTAATTTTAGATAAATGTTAAAATTCATATTTTCTAAAAATTACTCCAACTAAATGTATAAAATAGTTCAAATATTTAGTGGGAGAATGATATAAGTTTTTTAATATTATATATTTCCTTTTATTGAATTAAATAAATATATTTTTTTAATATTATATATTAATGTATTGAAATATTGAAATTCAATAATCTGTTTATTATATATTAATGTGTTTCCTTCTCTAATTAGATTTTTTAATATTGTATGTTTCCTTCTCTAATTAGATTTCCTTTTAATTATATATTTTCTTCTCTAATTAGATTTCCTTTAATTGAATTAAATAAATTTTTAATATTATAATAAATATTATAAATTTCCTTCTCTAATTAGCTTTTCCTTTTATTGAATTAAATATTATATATTAATGTGTTTCCTTCTCTAAATAGATTTTTTAATATTATATATTGCTTTCTCTATTAGATTTCCTTTTAATTATATATTTTCTTCTATAATTCGATTTCCTTTCATTGAATTAAATAAATAATTTTTTAATATTATAATTAATATACTGAAACTCTTTGTACTTTTAATAATAGTATAGATATGTATTCAGGTCGTGAGCAAATTCATCATTTTCAAGTTATAACCAAATTCAACATTTAATGTCACACGCACTTTTCACCTTCCTAGTTGCATGCAATTCGAATGCTTTATGAGTCACTATCCCAAAGGATGATGGATCCCTCTCTGATTATCATACGCTTTACGGGTCATTACCCTGAAAGACTTAGGATCCCTTCAGTTATTTCCCCTAGCTAGGTTTAGGGCATAACTGAGCCTTTCTTGCTTTCCTGGGCACAATCCTATCAGGCGAGAGTCTTCTGGAGGGTAACCCCTTTTTGTGTTTGGTGGAGCATTTGGAAAGAGCGGAATAGAAGATTTTTTGATGGGAAGGAGTCCTCCATCAGGGTGTTGAAATTTTCGATTATTTGTACTCTTTTTTGTTGGGGTTGGGGGAGAGATTTTTCCTTGATTGAGGATATTGTGGACTTTTTGGGCTCCTTGAGATCATAGGTTCAGTTCTTTTTTTTTGTATAGCTTGGGACACGTTCCCCTTTTGAATACCTTCTAATACATATTACTTATCAAAAAAAAAAAAAAAAAAAAAAAAAAAAAAAAAAAAAAATCCTATCACACATATACAGATCGGGCTCAATCCCGCACACAAGCATATCACATACTGCCATACTGGGCACAATCTTGCAACACAAATATATAACATACTGGGTACGATTTTGCAACATAAATATATCAGGTGAGCACAATCCCATGCGTGATTCAAAGAATAATTTAAACCATTATCCCAATAATCATGAGACAACAATTACTTATCAAAAAATTATAATCACGAGACAACAATTTTATCAATGCATCACAACACATTAATTGCAACTTACCAATACATGATCGATTTCAAAATTTCACCAAATTCCATTTTTTAACCTTTTTGGGTAGAGCCCAAGGAAAATGAAGCCTTTATAAGTGTATTTAAATACCTAAAACCCAAGGTTAAGAAAACCAAGCGAAAGTATTGAAAGTTTAACAAAATTTGGTGTAAAACTCCACAAATTTATAAAAATTCCCTTTGGGGCATTTTATCAAATATCAAGAGTGCACAATCTCCCAAACTAACACTTGGGCTCTATTCAACAATACACATAACCCAATATTAACAAAGAAGCAAGATTTCAAGCATATCAACACATTCTAAGCATGTATTTTTGAAGAAAAACACATATACATGTTGAAAGAGGCATCAACAGTTAACATGGTTAGTGAATTCCCTACCTCAAGAGAGTATACAAATGAGTAGGGCCGGCCTTGGGATTCCTAAAATTTTGAGAGGCCCTAGGTGATCTTTCAAATGCGAGGCCTTTTATACATAAGGTTTCACATGCGCAATTTTTTATATTAAATCTCCATGTTCATTCATATTTTCTTCATTTGCATTCTCATTCCTATGTTCTTCATTCACCAAATCTTCAACTAAACTCTCCGTTTGTGTATTGCTCCTAAAAACTTATGAAGAGCTCCTTTTTGAGATTGTATCAATTCTTCTTCTCTCTTCTTATTTTGTTTTCCTTTTTTCATGCCCTTATTCAAATTTTTTAGTAGACATAACTGACATAAAAATCGAGATTTTTAAGGTTCAAGCCAAGTGGCCTAATAACTGCAGAAACATATATGTAACAATGAATTAATACAAAATAAACTGATTCATTCAGTAATGCACTCAATTTTGTCCAAAGTCTGAAAATGGTCAAGGCTCACTTAGCTCAACTGCTCAAGTAGCTAGTGTGGAACTAAGGGAAAATGTAGAATTTCATTAATTGACATATAGATTAGTCAAACATAAATATTTGGGCAGTTTCAAAAGGGAAAAGCCTAATAAATGGAGGCTGGGATTATAATGAATTATATCACTGAAAACATATATATGGTATTGAGTATTGATGAAGCTGAAAGGGAAAATTACCAGACGAGGTTGAATCACTCTGTCCACCTTCAAAAACAAATACCTATCTCCCAACCGTCAAAGTTATCAAACCCTGCAATGAAAATATAGAAATCAGAAATGAAAACTCATAAACCTAGGTGCCAACCTGCCACAAAATCACTACAAAATATAAATTTACCTTAAAAATCAATATCCAATCTTAGAAAATCAGATTAAAATATTGCTTAAGTTTCCAAGGAACCAATATTGAAATTCTGAATTTGAAATAGTCCGATTGGACTTGGAATGATCACCATATGTTCATATTACAAACCCGCTTAAGTATCCCAAGAAACTCCAGAGTTTACCTTAGAAAATGAACAATCCAACTGAAATTTAAAGCTCGACTCCCGAATCTCTAGTACAGAGCATCAAAACAGAGTATATAGTTACTTATCAAAAAAAAAAAAAAAAAAAAACAGAGTATATAGTCAACAGGCTCAACAAAATCCTCAAATCTTATCCTTCGAAGAGCCCTCTCTCTCTCACCATTAAATCTTCAGTTGGAAATTTGGGCCCATAAATTCAATAGAAGCATTTTTTAAATTTCAGGCCCATATCAACATTTTGTTGCAGTATAACTGTGTAAGATGGGCCAAAATTTGAGGCCCTCCAATTTTGGAGGCCCTAGGCGACCGCCTGGGCCACATAAGCCCAGGGCCGGCCCTGCCAATGAGTTCTTATGTTACACGGAGTCTGCAGTTGGTATGCATGCCGTGAGCGAGGTTATGTACTTATATATTAGATTCTTATGATTTTTGAATCTTAAGAATTGGGAAGTGACTGAATTATCAAATAGTCCAATTATTCTTTCTCCATACCCTAAAATAAAAAGTATAACATAGACTGCTTAAGATGTGATTTTACATCTTTAAAATATTCATGTGACATTGAGAGATTATTAAGGAATCATCCCATGGAACTCATTGTATAGAGGCTTTTCTACCAATGTTCCAAAATCTAGATATCAGTTCGGTAAAGTGCCAGTCTGGATACGTGGCCAGGTCAATTTGGCTGGCCTATGTTCTGCTTGCTGCACCAGTTTGTGATCCAAATGTTTGAACCGTGTTAGATTGCTGGATTCCATGTTCTTCAAGATCTAAGCCATCTGATCTTTTTTTATTATTGCTTCATTTCAGTGAAAAGTTCTAGAATATTTGATCATCTTAAAGACAAATGGTTGAACTTTGTCAGATTTGCCGGATTCAACATTCTTCGAGATCTAAGCCATCTAATCTTTTAATTATTGCTTCATATCACTAAGAAGCTCTAGAATATGTGTTCATCTTTTATTTTCTCACTAAAAATTGAAGAGAACTCTCATACGTCGTCTCATGTACTCCAGTTCATCTTGCCTCATCTTCTTTTTCATTCTCTCTGCATGTGTTTGTGTGCACTTCTAAAATTTTTAAATGTTGAAAGTTCATTTTGGTATTCCTAGTACTAGTCTTATTAATATCTCTCTCCATAAGGGATAGCACAATTTTGCAACTTTGAACTTCATTATTTTTTATTGTCTTATTTATTGCTTTCCTTGAAATTTGATACATGTTTCAGGTCCAGTTGCTGAGGACATGTTTCACTGGCAAGCAACAATTATGGGTCCTTCAGACAGTCCTTATGCAGGTGGGGTTTTCTTAGTTACCATCCATTTCCCGCCAGATTATCCATTCAAGCCGCCAAAGGTGCCTAACTCACTCTAATTCTCTCTCCTAAAGTTTCTTTTACTCAATTTCTGGCTTTGCTTTTTTGGTGATCTCGCTCTCTCTCTCTCTCTCTCTCTCTGACACATAATGTTGTTAAATTTTAATTTAAATTGAAGCTGTCAGTGGTAATTTTTACCAATCATTTTAAATTTTTTTTTTTTTTTTTTATAAATGTGAATTTGTTTCAAGCTAAGTTTATGCTTAATGGCTCTAATACCTAGTCTGTTGGTGGATGACTGAATTTGTTATTTTGTCACTGCTAGGTTATCACTGACCATTACACGTCATTACTGAACCACAAATTACTAAATGGTCATTTAGGTTTCATTCTCTAATTGCTGTTAGGTTAGTCTGTCATATTTGGTTCTGAGAAATAGCACTATTGAAAATAAAGTATAACATAAGTATTTAAATCTTTTATATGATGTAATAACATTGTTATTATGATTTTTTCCATTTTCTTTCTGAATTTAAGAATAATCAGACTGGATTTGGCACCTATAGCTAAAAACATAATTTAGTTTTTTGCATATGGCAAGATCTTTTCTTTGAGCTTGCATATAGATGATTTGAAGCTCGAGTATACTTGTTCCTGTTTGTGGATGTTGGATATATAACTCCATGCACAATTCATCTGTTTTTTGAGAAAGAATCTAAAGGCTTTTTAGAGAATATGGTTGTTAAAAGGGTTTATTGCAATATTAGTAGGCTCTAGCCTAGATGGTATAAGCTCTCCCTCTCCAAACAGGAGGTTCGGTGTTCAGGCCCCATTGGGGGCAAAATATAGTGGGTGTGTCATGTGTGTGTGTTTGATTTGCCATTAGAAAAAAGGGTTAATTGCAAAAAGCCCTCTAAAATTTTTGCAGGTTACTCCCTTTAGAATAAAATTTGCCCCTTAAATTATTGAAAATTCACAAAAAGGCCAATGACCTAACCAATGTGCTATAATCTGTAACGTTAATTATTAAATTGACCTTAATGTTTTCAGATTTAATATATAAATAGTAAAACAGAGAATACAAAATAACTAGTTTCTCCTTATCCCCCTAATTAGGCTGTTTAGCAACAGAAAAAGGTGAAATCCCTAACATGCTTGAGCCATATTTCTTGCTCTCTGTATTTCACACAGAATCTGCTCTTCCCCTATATCTTTCTCGCTCTCCTTTTCCATGTTATTATTAGTTGTAGTTTGAGTTTTTCTCAAATAAAGTTCCTCAAATCTCAAATTTTTTTGATAGATGTGATTCTTTGCTGTTTGAAATGTGGATCAAAGGATTAACTATTAAAAATATTAACTCTCTCAGATTTAGAACATGATAGAAGGTGATGTGCCTACGTGGCCAATTACCAAAAACAGCAATGGTCAGCCATATATTCAAAGTGGTACCATAAGGAGGTGGGAAAGTGGGTACCACCCAGTAGTCAAATATTAAGAGAGATGCCTGCTTCTCTCTATTTTAAAGGAGCACATGCTTAGGCTATGTTATCTTGATATGCTCTCTCTATATTGAGAGAGAGAGATCTCTCAATGAAGAAGTTATGTCAGAAGAATCTACTTTTCAAGATAATGGTGATGACTGCTATGGAATCAAACTGTAGCACTTCTGATTTCTATGTCAATATGCCCCACTTGATTCCACAAGTCTCCAGGACATGTGGCTCTTGGCATGTGAAGACCAAAAATATTGTCTCCTGCTTTAATAAAGTATATTTCTTTTCCAATCCTACTTTGAAAAAAAGTAGCTTTTATTTATAAATTGGAATTAATTCCTGCTTTGAAGTCCGATCTCTTCCTCCTATAGAAGGAGATCTATGTCTAGAAGAAAAATATCGGAAATTTTTCGAAGTGCTTTATATTTTCTTTGAGTGTTTGTAAGCTTGAGTGTTGGTAAGCTTTAACAAAATACTACGTATAAACAAATAAACAAACGACAAAATGGTACTACAAGACAAAATAGTATATATACAAAAAACAAATTGGCAGTACAAGACAAAATAGTACTACAAACATTAACATTTCATAACTCAAATACATAGTCCAAATAGTAACAAAACATAAAATGGTACAAAAACAGTAGATACTTACAGTTGAAAGCTTACTAACACTTGAGCTTACAAATACTCAAAGAAAATATTAAAACACTCCAAAATTTTTTTCAATGTTTTTCTTCTAGACATAGATCTCCTTCTATAGGAAGAAGAGATCGGACTTCAAAGCAGGAATTAATTCCAATTCATAAATAAAAGTTACTTTTAAAAAAAGTAGAATTGGAAAAGAAAGATGCTTTATTAAAGTGGGAGACATCATTGATGATCTTCGCATGCCAAGAGCCACGTGTCTGGGAGATTTGTGGAGTCGAGTGGGGCATATTTCATTGGAAGTCAAAAGTGCTACAATTTGATTCCATAGCAAGCGAGGCATTCAAGCGTTGTTAGGGTTTTGTTGACCATATATCAGGAAATTCACCTAATGGATAAACTATCGAAATCAATGTTTCTTAAAGGCTCTATTCTCTCTCTCTACCTGGAAGTAATAAAAGATTTTATGGGAAAATGATTCCCCCTACTCCTAGCATTAGAAGAAGCTTCATTAAACTTGCTATTCCACTTGACCCTGAATTTAGTCTCAATTCCAATAATGACCAATTCATGTCCGAATTATGAAAACGGGAGAGAGAGAGAGAGTTGGGTTTAATGATAGTAAAGGGGATTTGATAAAAATAGAATAGGGTTAATTACATTGGCAACGCTGAAACTTTTTATTATTCGCTTTCTTTTCAATTATGTTAAGAGGAGTTCTTGCTCCTTTTCCGAAGATTTAATTATTTTCTTGGATTCCGGTTCCATTTTTGTATTTGGGACGCATTTCCCTTTTGAACCCCTTCATTTACTTCTTACTTATCAAAAAAATAAAAAATTACATTGGCACCCCCTCAGGTTTGACCAAATATCACATTGAAACACCTTTCGAAAATAACTATTACTCGCATTATAAACGTTTTGTCTGTTTTTCAATCACAAGTCACACCCCAAAAGTTACTTTTCAGTTGTATCAGACCACTTTTTACATGTAAAAAGACATTGTTACCCTTTGACTTTGTCAAAATCCTTTTTAACCTAAAGAATTATCTAAAAGACCAAAATACCCATGCCTTTTCCCAAACAAGATAATGACCCAATTCAATTACACACATATTCATATGTAAATATATATATATATATAAACATGGAAGATGAAGGTAGAACTATGTGAGACGATCGACTATGTGAGTGCTCTAGTGAAAATGGAAGATGACAGCAGAACTTATCCGGCGAAGAGATTCGAGGATGAAAGAGTAAGAAAAACGAATAAATTGATGTCTGTTCAAATGCTTGCTCCGATGTCTGCGATAACGACGAAAAAAAGGACCGGCTATGGCAATGTCTAAAATCGCTGAATTTGTTTTGTGTTTGCGATATCTGTGTGTGTATATATATTATTTGTATGTGTATGTGTGTGTATATATATTTATTTATATATATATGTGTGTGTGTGTGTATTCTCTTAGGCTAAGAGTGATCTGAATTAGACTCGAATGTGACCCTATTAAAATCCGGTCCTTGAAACAGGATCAGACCCATAAGTTTTAACTCCAAATGCTAATTACAGATTTTGTTGTAATAGTTCCAACTCAAATTAACGCAGTTTGCTACAAATATATTATGATAAATGTATGAAAAGTATAGTATTACCTTTTTTAAACTGCAAGCACAAAAGGAGAATATTAGGTAAATTTGGCCGTTAAGATTTGCTAAGATATTAGGTAATCTGATAAAATTCCTTTAAATATTTGACTAGTCCGAACATAAAAGTAAAGCATGATGGATTTGATATATATATATATATATATATATATATAGATATGATGATCCTATGTATTGTGGTGGTTGATAAATTATATTCTTTGCCAACAAAAATTGAACAAGTGTATATGGACGCACATACAAACACATTATTTTGGTTCGGATTTATCCTTTTGGACCCCAAATCAGAAACTAAATTGTAATCATCAATTATGTAACTTTCAGAACCAAAATGTTCCATCACAACAAGAAGTGAACAAGTGTATTGTGGTGGTTGATAAATTATACTGCAAATTGGTTATACTAATCAAAAAAAATATACTGCAAATTGGTTATCATTTGCTGTTCATGGTCTTGGGTAAAGCCCTGCGTGTGTGAGAGAGAGAGTGAGATGGGCAGTTTAGTCCTTTCAAGTTTCTAATATGTTAGCATTAAAATATAATAAAGAAATGAGGGTAAAAATGTCCATCACATCTTTTTAATTGTGTTAGAGACAGAAAAGTTATTTGGGGCGTGAGTGATACTTATTTTGGAAAAGTTATTTGGTGTGTGAGTGATACTTATTTTTGAAAAGTGTTAACCTGAGGGGGTGTCAGTCTAATTAACCCAATAAAATAAAATAAAATAAAAATTATAGTGGGGTATTTCAAGTTAAAGTGTAAATTGGGCTATGTTACATAGAATCTTACAAAGTAGGCAGACAGAGCAATGTATTTATTTCAGTGGGGGCACAATTAGCATTATTTTGTAAATTTTTTTTTTTAAATTACATACACTAACGTAAGTATATATATATATATATATGTTGAAGAGTCTCTCAATGGGCCCAAGGCAACTTTAGAAATGAAGATCTAGCAGATGGGACAAAATTACTTTTCAAAGAGAACCTTCTTCCATCTAGAGGAGATCCTCGTTTATTCAGTATCAGACCATCCATAGCAGTTATATCAATTTTACTAAGTTATTTAGTAATTCTTTTTGGCTATCGCCTTGTTCTAGCCGATCTCAGTATTGGTGTTTTTTTATGGATTGCCATTTCAAGTATTGCTCCTGTTGGACTTCTTATGTCAGGATATGGATCAAATAATAAATATTCCTTTTTAGGTGGTCTGCGAGCTGCTGCTCAATCAATTAGATGGACTAAAATAAAAAAAATATATGTTATTTTTGGGTTTGTGTTGGGGGGTGTGGTGTTGTTACATGCTCCTTCTGGCCCAATGTGGCTCCGTCCCTAAAAAAATAGGTGAAGTACCCGTGTCAGACTCACAATGCTTGGACATGAGTATTGGGTTAGATGGATTCGCACCTAAAAAAACATATCCAATAATTTTATTATGTTATATTATTACTTCAAAATGAAATAAAAGCCTGTATTGAACTCTATGTGACGTAAAAAATTACTTTATTCTAAAATAAAACTAAAATATTAACTAATTTTTTTTCAAAATCACGTGACATGCAGGTGAGCTAGTCACTATCTATTTCCTAACGGTGTAGATTGACAAAAGGGGGTATCTTGCAAAAAGTGATATTCCTAGGTGGTAATTGCTAAAATTTTACGTACAAAAAAATCTTAAAACTTCATTATAGGCACACTCCTGCAAAAATATTACAGTAGAGGGTTTTTTGCTGTTAACCTTTGTTAAAATCTTAATCTGAATCTTACGATCATATGATCCTACGATCCAAAAGCACCTTACCCGATATCCAATTAATGTCACAAAATGAGGACGAAAACCTACTTAAATGTTGTAAATAGGACTAATAATTTCAAAATTTTCTTCTTATTTTGACAATGCATGATTTTTTTTGGCAATTTGATTCTTCGTTTTAACTAGTATGCCTTCAACATTATTCTTTTCCTTTTTTCCTTTTTTATTTTGTTTAGTAAATTTCCTATGATATGTAATAGAGATGCTGGACAAAATTTTATTTCAAATCACTACTTCACACCATTGATTCGGACATGTATCTCTCTCTAAAGCTCAATAATATGTGTTTTCCCTAAAGCTCAAGAACTTTGTTTCAAACTATCAATCTTACGTCTACACAAATCTTTACGAACGAGAATCCACAGTGATACTTATTCATTATAGGTCTAATTATATACTTATTCATTATAGGTCTAATTATATTCATACAGAGATTTGCTTTAATTTATTTATTCCCCACTTTCATTCTGTGTAGCAGTCTGCACAATTGTCCTTGAAATGCAATATTTACTTTTAAAATTTGAATGATCTGACGAAAATTTGTATCTGAAAACTAAATAATATAATTGAAAATGAATTAAACAACCCTTCCTATATTATCCATTACAGAAGTAATATCCGTTTCTGGTCCATCAACTACTCTATCCTATCCGCCCGTGTTTTCTTTTTATTGGCAAGCGTAGTTACACCATCAATTCAGGATTTATTAAAAGAAACTGCTCTGGAGAAAAACCTGATGTCTATAAGAATTCCTTTCTGTATACCTAGGGTGTCATGATTTGTATACGTCATGTTTTAAAATTTCTTGCTCTTTTGCTCTTGAGGTTCAAACTTGGCATACAATTCTCTGTCTAACCCGCATTCATATGGACAAATCTTGCAGGTGGCATTTAGGACAAAGGTTTTCCACCCGAATATAAATAGCAACGGAAGCATATGTCTTGACATCTTGAAGGAGCAGTGGAGCCCAGCCCTAACGATTTCCAAGGTTAGTGTTCTGTAACATAGAGCTCTAGCTTCGAAGTCAGAGCAAGCCATCATTTTAAAAAAAGGCTCTTAACCACATTGAGTTTAAGGGGGAAATTATTACAACATAAACACCCTCAAAATTCCTTAGATCACTTTGTTGGATTCTTTTTATATTGTCAATCTTTCATTCTTGAGTGGGTGGCATTTGGTTCTTTCTTTTTCTCTTTTAGGTTTTGCTCTCAATCTGTTCTTTGTTGACGGACCCGAACCCGGATGATCCACTGGTGCCAGAGATAGCTCACATGTACAAGACAGACAGAAGCAAGTATGAGACAACCGCAAGGAGCTGGACTCAGAAGTACGCCATGGGCTGAGGGTGGGGTGTTTTTTATGTGTAATATCCAGGAAGAGCCTTTCTTTCTAATACTTTGGTCTTTCGCTTCCATGTATGAAACGAAGCTCGGCCTCTCTCTTGAATCCAAAAATGGACAAAAGGAGAGGTCCAAAATATGCCTCGAAGGAGGAGAAGACACAGATATTGCTTTTAATTGATTGTATGGCGTGCCTTACTATTTGGACTTTGTATTTTGCTGTTATATATACATGAAGAAAGAAAAAGAAAGAAGAATTTCATGTGATTATGGTAGGGTACAAAGTCAAGGTCTTGGGTGTCATGAAGTTCACATAACTGTCTATGGGCTTTTGGAGTGCATTGGCTGAGGAAGTTTAAAAAATCTTTAATGGAATAACCCAATAGTAATATGACCAAAATACCCTGAAGAAAAATAATTTAAGCCCTAATAGGGTGTGCACGTTGGGGGGACATGGTACACTGCAGAGGAGTCGGAACGAGGGCGACTGGCTGTGAAAGAAAAGATGGGGTTGATGAGGTGTCAGTTTTCGGATATGAATCCGGTGAGGAGTCCAATAATTTATCGTGGCATCTTCGGGTTAGTGTGAAGTAGCAGAGCAGCAGAACGGGTCTGAACCGGTTCAGGAGATGGAGGGCGTTGAAGAAGTTGATGAATGTGAAGGAGAAATTAATTTACTACGTGATGACTGCGGTGAATATGACTTGTCAATGGACACACCATTCAATTTCCCGCCACCAGAGCTGACATTTGATGCCGATTCCGAAGAAATGGTCTGTTGTAACACACAAGTGGGTTGATGATATCAGCGTTTTTTAGTCGTAGATACTATTAATGCTTACCATGAAAATGGTTTTGATGTGAGATTTCTTTCCATTTGTTGTGCTGAGTCCTAAGTTTTGGAGACTGTTTATTTAAAATGATTGAAAATAATAATATATTTTAGAAGTAGGTCTCATGCGCATTGGACGTGATACGCCCGCACCATTGAAAGAACAAAAGTCTTTTCTGAAGTAGGTTTTTTATTTTTTACACCAAAATAGGGTATGTTGAAAAAAATTTATGACAATAAACACACGTACTTGTAACATCAATTTATATGATAACAATACAATAATTTGTTTCTATTAAAAAAGAAAAAAAAAACTTTATATTTAAACTTACAAACTGGTTTATTTTATTATTATATTATTTTTGGACTCTTATGCATGTATGACAGACTCCATTAAGCTCAGTCCAAATAACCAAATTATTTTTAGAGTTACAATTTTTAAGAGAAATTTTACCAAGAGGTACAGAAAAGGCAATATGAAGTATTTTTAATTTAATTTTATTATTATTATTATTATTATTATTTTTTAATGTAAATTAAATGGTGCTCTTTATAAAGCACCAAAACCGGATTTTGTTTTGTGTGTTTTTAATATTAATATATTTTATGTGTTTATCGTCTCAGTTTAAGTTTAATGATAAAGATTAGAGACGAAAAGACCCTGCATCATATGAAAAAAAATGGCCCAATATTGTGTATTCTGAAGATGAGTATTGGGTCAACGTTTCCTTTTTATTCTCTCTCTCTCTCTTTTCAAGAGTAAGGAAATGCCATTTCCTCATTTTTAACGTTTGCTTTCCTTTTTACATAACTTTAAAATTATCTAATCTAAGGGGTATAAAAGGAGAGCTTCTCAATGTACCACAAGGAGTGCTCTCTTAATAGCATTACTCTATAAATTAAGGACTTTCATAATTTTTTTTTATAGATATAAAGGCCTCTATCTTTGTCAAAACAGGCCTTGGCCCTTGGGCCACTACCACGGTTTCAAGTTTTGAGCAGCATTCTCTATGGAAGTACAATATTGGCAGGTTATGGATGTCATGATCTTACATAGCCTTGGAGGTGAAGTGTTGTATGTAGGTTCAACAACCTTATATGACACGTAAAGTCATGATGACCATTAACCCATCAGAACTCCGTAGTTAAGTGTGTTAGGTACGGTGAGGACTGTTACACATACTAACTATATTTTTCTCTTTCCGAGTCTTTCATGAAGAAACGTATTGACGTGTTTGAGTTATTTACCTAACTAAAAAAAAAAAAAAAAAAAAAAAATTTCCGAGATTACAAACCTTGTATTGACTGGAACTGAAATATGATCCCAATTGAAATCCAATTTTATCGAATTTGAAATTCAGTTTTAAATGTATACTTTGAAATGTGTAAATTGAAATTTTCATTTAATCCAATTAGAACTTCAGTTTTCAATATGAATTTTGAAATGGGTTAGATATGGATCCAGATGGTGTTTTGGATAGCGATATACCACTTTGTTGTATTGGGCTAAACGGGCCTCTAATCCAACCCAACCCCATTTTTACTATATTTGGACTTATAATCCATAGATATGGATCCAAATTTTGTTTTGCGATACACACTTTGCTGTATTGGGCTAAACGGGCCTCTGATCCAACCCAAGCCCATTTTACTATATTTGAACTTATTTGGATTATATGGTACGAGTCTATGAATTATGTCAGTACAACTCCATTCGATTTCATATATGAATACAAATATTGATATTAAAATATGAATCAAATATCATGATTCGAGGTTTAAAATCACAATGACATTAACACCCTTAAGCTTCATCTACTTTCTTCTGCATCATTAGAAAGCAAAATGTCCAAATATTTCCATTCAAAAAAAGGAACTATAGACTCGGAAGGAAAAAAAATAAAACCAAACAAACAAAGTTCGAAGTCAATTTGAGTAATGCTACGATGCTGAATTGATTTTTTGACAGACTCTAATTAAGAGTGTCCAACAAGAGCTCTTTTACTCAATGATCAACTAATAAGATAGAGTTTTTCTTTTTATAAAGTGTTTCTTGTAACTATGGGCATTACCCAGTGAGCTAATTGATGAAGTGTCTAGCTTTTTGAGTAGGCGTGCCCGTGTCCATAATAAAAATTGACCCAAAAGCACTTTGGACTATCAATGACCTAATGGAGAAATTTTTTTTACACCTGTTGTATCGTATAATGAACATATTTAATTGTTCATTACGCATCTGGAATACACGTATGGTCCGAATGCGCCCGTTGAATGATGCACAGACGTGAGGATGTTTTCCTCCACCCCATGAGGAGCATTTTTCTTCGAAACATATTTATTAGTAGCATTAATGACAATAGGGTAGCCATTAGACTTCCCGAGAGTCAGTTCACCGAATCAGTAGAAGAACCTCTAGAGTCAAGATTGATCTTGAGAGAAAATGTGGCATGTTATCCCTTAATAAGTTAATATATATAAACTCAACTGTAAATGGTCAAATATAATTATTACAATTAGAAATTGTCTCTCAAGTGTTGCACACAGTTTAATTTAATTTATTTTATTCAAATGAACCCCCATGTGATGTACTTTGGATATCTCACATTTCTTTTATTTAATTGCTCTTCTGATTCTTTCTACTTATGCAAGTGTGTGCAACTACAGTTGAAATGTGACACACAAATTCCTCTCCCTCATACAAGTATTCCAATATTTCTTGTCAATGAAGCATCATCAAAATGTTATATATACATATATGTATATATATATATGTATATAGAGAGAGAGAGAGAGAGAGAATTATATATAAGTTTATATAGTCATCACTCGAGCAATTACTATGTCGTGGAATTATTATTTTATGTCACAAAATGTTGATGATAATATTAATATTATACTGAGAAGTTCAGAAAGTAAGAAAGGAAGAACAGTGCCCTAGGTATCCCAGCTCCATTTTATTTTATTATATGGTTTACTTCCCCGTAAAAATATTCAACTATTTTAAACTTTTATTGTCTAGTTTTAGTTATCTATATTGTTCATTATAATGGGACATGGTGACTCATGTCGTGTGTTTGTTTAATATTTAAATCGTGCGTGTCGTTTCCTCAATCATGCACGTATTTGATACGGTTACACGAACTTAAAATTTAGATTAAATTAAAATTTGTCCAAAGGGTCGTGCCCCCGAGTAGGGGTGAGCATGGTCCCCTAAAATCTGGTTCATTAATTTTAAACCTAACCTAATCAGTTCTATGTACCTGGGGGCTTGTCCCTACTCCCTACTCAAGACAATGTTGAGAATGACAAGTTGACTCCCAATTTGATTTTTTGTTTTTCTAATTTTGTGTGTGTGAATAATTACGTGGCAAGTCGGGAAGCTTACGTGTATGCAGAAGTAGATGTTGAGGTGGATATGTTGTGTAATGCTGATGAGTTGATTAACTTAATGATGGTTCAAAACTTTGTTAATTGATGTCTAATTTGCCTTCTAGTCATTCACAAGTCAATAGTGTAAATGGTAATTGAAAACAAGAATTGTTTAGGTTTGTTATGATGTGATTCACATGGGAAAATGATTCCTATTAAAGTTGCAGGTAACAATTCACATTTTTTTTTGTTTTGAAAAATGATATAATTGGCCACGATGTTTTATGTGACTATACAATCTGACCTTAACCGTGAAAATTAGTGATTAGAATTAGTACATTAAAAATAAATTTTAGTATTTTTTAAAATAATAAAATTTTGTTAGACTCTATTTAGTAAAATTATTACAAAAATCGATCAATTTTTATAACATTATTCTTTCAATATTTATTCACATAATAAGTAAAAGTGAAAGACCAAATAGCAGATTATGTGTTATGAGATGAGCATTCACACTTGACCAAACACACCAAATCATACAAAACAAGTCAACACAGAATGCTTTTGAGGGTACCAAACCATCATGTTTGCCATTTTCATGGTTTTTTGGCATTCAAAAATTTTTTTTTTTCGAAAAAAAAAAAAGCCTAAATTAATGTACCAAGTACCAACCAATATTTTTCTCCAACCTTTACATCTTGAAAAACCAAAAAAAAAAAAAAAAACAAACAAACGCACACACACTTTTTTCTCCACCAAATCCCTAATTTTGAGGCATTAAAAGTACACTCCCATGGTTCCCTCTCTCTCATTTTCAGAGCCCCGAGGAATCTAATACCAAAGTGCCAAATACCAGAGAAAAAAAAAAGTACCCAAAACCCCATACACGGTGTGATAGAAAATAGAAGAAAAAACAAGGGTTTTAAGATAAATATAAAATTTTCAAAATAAGGCACGTCACCCACACGTGGAGGGGACACGTGGCATGGTCTGATAAGTGAAGGGCGTGAACGGTGCCGGTGACCGGTGACTCCCTAAAAAAAACAAAAGCTGCAGGAGTGAAGAT